AATAGCAGCGAATTGCCTATTTCTCTGAGGCTTCTCCGCAAACAATTTACAGTGTAAATATATTTGTTGGCATGCAAATCACTCGGCATTATGAGTCTTGATTAATATTATAATGTGTTGATGAAAGCCTGCGTAAGTGCTTCTTGGAACCAAGGTTCCTGACAAAGCTCGGCTGTTTGGGTGCCCAGTGTTTGTTGAATGTTAGAGGAGGCTGTTTTGAGGCTTTGTGTTTTCCTTAATTCTAATTTGCGCCGCCRCCGTTTAATGGACGGGGAGCTTTCCCTCCTTCTTTGCAAGATGCCAAGCGCGAAGCGGCTCCGTCGCGCGACGGATCGCGCCGTTAATTAACGCGATGAGGGGCACCGAGGCTGGGCGCCTCGGCCCCGGCCCCGCGGGGACTCTCTGGTGTCTAATAGGGTTGAGCTCCGGCTCCAAGACCAAGCGCCTAGAGGTTTTCCCTCCTCGAGAGAGGTTCTAGTGTTCCCAAACTGTGCGGATTGGAGGCAGTTCCCTGCGGGACGCTTTGCGCCTAGGATGCGGCCACAGGGAAGTGTCACCGGGAGGCGGCTCTGCGCGTGCTGGGAATGCCGGGCGCGGGGACTGGCGAGGGAGCGCGAGGCGAGCGGGCAGCCCTCCTTAGCAGGCAGCGGAGCAGCGGCTAGCGACAGCCCCTGCTTCTGACCTTTGGTAACTGCTGTTTTCCRCGGCGAGTGACAGGGCGTGCGGAGAAACAGCAAGTTGTCCGCGGGCGCCTCTCCGGGCGGCCATGCCGCATGGAGCAGCCCGGGCCAAAAAGGAGGAAAAGGGGGACAAAATCAGCAGGATAGCAAGCCTTTAAAGAAAACACCGTGCCCCTTCTTTTTGTTTTTCTCTCCCTTTTTTATTTCCTTTTTTTTTCCCCCCTCCGCAAGCAGCTGTGCCTTTTTCCAGCGCTTTTAAAGGGTTGCCAGGGAAACCGAGCAAGGGAGAGCGGAGAGGTTAGATGGATCTTGGACGAGGCTAATGCACTCGCTCCGAGCGGGAATTGCCGGGTGGCCGGGACGCGGCGGGTCCCGGGACCTCCCCGCGCGCACCGCTCCTTCCCGCCGCCGCCAATTGAGGTTTTGCCGTTTGCAGGCGCTAACCCGTCGCTTCGGGGTCTCGCGGTGGCTTTTGAAGGGTCGTTAGCCCTTGTGGGTCACCCTGGGTGAAGTACTTGGGATGTTGGGCCCGCGTGCACGGAGTTGGAGGCCAGGAGAGGGAAGCGAGGGAACGGCGGGGCGGCAACCCGGAGGCCTGAGGCGGGATCGGCCGGAAAACGATCGGAATTTAGCCCCGGACGCACGTGCTCCTCCAGCAGCCCTCAGGCTCCCGAGCGAGCCCACCTCCTCCTGCTGCAAGGAGGGATCTGGAATGGGGAGCCGGATGGATGGAGCCGTAGGAACGATATAGGAGCTCTGGTCTCGCCAAGCAGGGTGTTCTCAGCCTGTTCCCCCTAACTTGACACCATCCGTCCCAGTTCCTCATGGTAGGACGGGTCCCCCACTGGGCCTCACCTTGTCTCCTCAGTCCCCGTGCTCGTCCGGGCTCRTTCTCAGCGCTAACGGGCCCCTATAAATAAGCCCTGGGAACGGCGACGGGGAGCGCTCAGAAAAGGCCGGTGCGTAAATTAGAGGYGAGGTAGTAATAAAGCTGACGAGCCCTTCGCCGGGGATTTTACGTTTCTCCTTGACTTTGCGGCTTTGTAGGGAGGAAATGATATCCACTGTCTCTTCCTTCGCCCGTTCCTCCTCCTCCTCCTCCTCCCTACCTTCTCCAATGGCGCATCGTGTCGGTACGGGACCCGCCGTCCTCATCAAGCTCCTCGGCGCTCTAGGCGGGAACAGTCTCATCTGTGGCAGTGCTGCGACACGGGATTTGCCACCGGGAGAGGGTTTTCCATCCCCAATGGGGCCGCGGGGCCCTTTTTGCGGCACGCTTTCCCGCGGGAAGCGGCCGGGCTGTTCGTTTCCCCTCCGCGCCTGCGCGCGCGGCTCGACACGCTCGGCACGCGCCAGACAAGCGCGGCGCCGCGCCGGCGGCGGGTGCCAAGTGTGACCCGGCGCTTCCCGGCGGAGGCGATGCATATTTATCAGGGAGGCGCCGGGGGGAACGGCTCAGCAACACGCGGCGCTCATCTCGGCGGCGGCCGGAGCGGCCGCGGCTCCGCGCGACCCCGCRCCGCACGCCCGGGCCCGGGCAGCAAGCGGGAAGCGCTCGGGTGCTCCCACGTGCCAGCAGCCCCTCTTGCCATAATATTTCCCGTGCGTCGTTTGACTTCTCTTTCTCTCGCGAACCCCTCTTGATCCCGGTACCTGCCGTAGCGGCTCTCTGGCTATATTTTATTGMGTGAATATTTCAATTAAATTACTTGGTGGGGAGGAAAAAAAGGCGCCGGTGAAGTTGGGAGCGATCGCCGTATCACTCCAACTTCCCTGCGTTCCCCGAAGGTTAATTGAAAGGCAGCCATCTTGGTGACGTTTAGACAAATGAGGATAATTACGTGTTCTCCGGCTCTCGGAGAGGTTAATTGCTTAGATGTACGAAGACTCGAAGAACAAAGAAGGGATAAATCAGCAGCGGGACGATGGTCCGATAACGTACTCGGGTGTCGTGGCGTGGGCGTCCCACAAAGAAGCGCCCCGCGATCGCGCGGCCCCGCTCGCCTCGGGCGGCCAGGTCCTTCCGCGGGCCCCGTCGGAAAGCGCAGTCTAATTCCCTCACTCGTGCATTAAGACGCGCAGGTTTATCCAGCAGCCCAGCTGCCTGGCAGATAATTACTCCCGAACGCGACCCGATGTAAAATAATCCTCCCGGGCGCGCGGCCAAGACGCGGAGGCTCTGCCTCCCGCGACGGAGACCTCGCCGTTCCCCTCGGGAGCCGCGGGGAGCGGCGTCCGGGGACGGACGCAGGTGGACGGCCTGCGACTTGCCTCCCTTGGCGATGCCGAGGGCGATGCCGAACGCGTCGTGCGTCCCGGGCTCTTGCCGGTCCTGCCGTTAGCYGGAAGCTCTGCGTTGCTTCGGCCACCTGTCCCCGTTGATTTGCGCTGCCCAGAGCCCTCCCGCTTTATCCCCTTTGTTGCTGCCTCCCCTTTTCCTAGGAAAATGGTGATTAAGCTGATAACGACTGTGATTTTGCACGGGGAGAGGTGGGAGAGATTTTGGTTTGGAGCCGCAACGCCGAAGGTCCCCGGAGCAGAACCGACCGGGCAAAAGGGTTCCCCTTCCTCAAGTTGTCTGCAAAGGAGGGTCCTGGGACCTCCCGCTTTCGGGATAGGGGACGGGATCCCACCCGGGGCAGCCGGTGTCCGAGGGCGCCCAGACCCGCGGCGCCAGACCCAAGGCTCCGGCATCRCCGAGGTGCGGCTCCCGCCACCGATCTGGGTCAGGTATTTTAGTCGCCGGAAAGTGGGTCAGCCGAGGAGTCGGCGGCGCCGTTTTGGCATTTCCATTTGTCATCTCGCAGYGATACTTTGCCTCGAGGAGTGAGAAATGGCTCGGGGTTGACAGGCTGCAGAAGTGCTTAACAATACAGATCTGTTGGTTTGCATAGGCGGGTGGGCAGGTCCCGGGCGCGCGCGCAGGGGCAGAGCGGGCCGGGGAGCGCCGGGACGGACCCGGGAGCGCCAGCGATTCCTTGGGAAGCGAGGCCATGAGGATGAGGGATGGGTGCAGTCAGCGCCCCGCATGCAGGACTCTCCTTCCTCCTCATCCCCCTGTTTGGGTTCAAGGAGGATTTGGGAGGAGGTTCTCGCACCGCTTCCGAGCGCGGAGACGGACGCGGCGCCTTCCGGAGCACCTCGGTGCGGGTTTGTCCTTGTTCCTCCCGAGATCCCTCGCAGGGACACCCGCCCGGCCCGCTTTCTTATCCGGCTTTGTCGGAGCTTGTCGGCTTTATCTAAACACTCGCCAGAGGCGTCCTTACCTGGTTGCTCGCGGAGCCGCGCTCGTAATCCCGGTCCGCGGGAACTGGGGAGCCGGGAGTGCGCGGCGGGACCCGTTTCGCCCGGGCTCTTTCCCAGCGCCCGCTCGGGGCCACGCTCATCCTCGGCGCGGGAACGGGCCCGAGGAGCGCGCGTCGTCGCCGCCGTGCCCGGGCCGTGCACGTCACCCTAATGAGGGCCCCGCGCGTCCCCCGAAGGGCCCTCGCCCGGATATTTATCCGCGTGCCGAGGCGCGAGGGCTCTGTTTTACATATTGCCGCCCTGGTTCTGTGGCGCGCGCCATGAATAATTTAGGGGGAACGTGTGTAAAGTATCTCYTTATTATTCATTATAATGAAGTGAGACAGTGGTAATAGTCCACTAGAGCCGAGTCCCTGAGGGCTGAACCTAACTAGGCTGCGCTTAGCTCTCCCCCAGTTAATCTGYGTGACGGGAGGGCTCCCGCGGCCGCCGCTCGGGCCGACACGGCGCTTGCGACACGGACAAGGCGCGCGGTGCCGGCGCGGGGAGAACATCTTGGTAGCGGGATAATAATATATGGCATGCTGCTCTGGGACCCTGGAGGCCCTGAGCGTGCCCAGCGTTGGCTCTGCCGGTGATTAATCCCGCTCTAGCCGTCCCGTGGCGTACGCGCCGCCTCGCCTCTCCCTTCCAGGGCCTCGGTTTCCCTCCGAGCCCCACGCTTTTGCCGCAGGCGAAGCCGAGCCGGAGGAGCCCTGAGGGAAACAGCTCCGGAGCATCTACCCGGAGGAAGGACAGAGCACGTGGATTTATTTCCCCGCTCTCTGCCTCTCRCCGGGCGCAAGGAGGAGGCGCCTCGCGGCGGGAAATCAATCGCCGCAGGGCCCGTGTTKTGTTTTGCAGGCGCTGGCGGGATTTGCAGCTCCCTCCTCTCCCCACGCGCACACCGGGGCCGCGGGCATCGCCCCGGGGCCGTCTCGCGAGGTTCCCGGTGCCGTCGGGAGCCCCGAGGGCAGGGCAGGGGCGGGAGGCCCGCGGCGCCCCGGCGTGACGGCCGCGCGCTCCGCCTCGCAGGTGCACCGTGGACGACCGGGTGACGCGGGTGGCCTGGCTCAACCGCAGCACCATCCTCTACGCGGGCAACGACAAGTGGTCCCTGGACAACCGCGTGGTCATCCTCTCCAACACCAAGACGCAGTACAGCATCAAGATCCACAACGTGGACGTGTACGACGAGGGGCCCTACACGTGCTCCGTGCAGACGGACAACCACCCCAAGACCTCGCGCGTCCACCTCATCGTGCAAGGTGAGGGTCCGCGCGGCGCCGGCGGMTATCCGGGACGGCTCCCGGCCCCGGCTCGGCGGCGGCCGCCGGCTCTCGTCCGGCCTCTCGATTAATTTTTCAGAGTTAGTGTTAGCTCGGGTTAGATAAAGAGAATGGAAGTTTCCTAATCCTCTTAAAGAAGATTTATCTGGCCGAGTAGCAAGCTCTCAGAATACAATAGAGCGTGTATAAAACCAGGACCTAATCTTTCCTTTAATTTCCAGCAGCTGATGGGTATTGATTTTGCAATGAGCCCCTCTGAAAGAGTCCAGGGCCGCACCGCGGCTCGGCCCACAAACCCAGCACCCTTATGTATGTATTTATGTTTTGCTCGCATAGAGATGTGGCCGGGCCTCGCGGCGCCCCTCGGGTCTCTCACGCGCACGAGAGCGAGCGCGATCGCGTCCGTCCCCTCTCGGCTCGCTCCCTGGATCCCCCAGGGATCGGCTCGGGATCGTGCGCCRCATCCGTCAGGGACAATTCCTAGGTATTTGGTCGGCCCGGAGGGTGCCCGGGTAGCTTTATCGCCGCTCCGTCCCCGCGTTCGCGTGGGTTTAATCGCGCCGCTGCCGGTCGAGCTGTTCCCTCCTCGTGTCGCAGCCGGTAGTGAACGTGTCTCATGGTGCCGTTATTAAGGTGTTGCTTGGACTGCTCCCTTCTGGCCGYGATAGACTCCCCCRCGTTGCCCCGTTGCAGCAGCAGGAYGTCGAATCACGTCGCGGGTCGCGTGTGCCCGAGGAACCGGTGTCAACGTTGTTGTCGCGTTCTGAAAAACGGCACGTGCCCTTCGTGGGCCACCTCGCTCCGCAGCTCGTGCAGCGAGCGCTCCTCGGTGCGGCCCTTAATCCCTCTAGCCGTGGCTTTTTCATTAATACCTCTATCAGCTGTCTGCATCRCTGCCGCCAGCGCCCGCTCCGGTTTCCCATCCCGGCCTCCGCCGCTCGCCGGGCTTGGAACGAGCGGGGCCCTCGGCAGCCCCCGGGAAATCGGGGCCATCTGTCCCCACGGAGGGACGTGCCCGGGATGTCCCTCGCCGGGGCCCCCGCTCCGTCCAAGGGGCTCCCCTCAAGGAGTAGCCCTGGGACCRAGCGTCTCTTCCCTGCCCCGCAGCCCCACTGCACCCATGGGTGACAGCTCGGTGTGGTGCCCCGGCCCGGCCAGTCCCCTTCGTGTGGGGTTGATCACGGGGAGCACAAGGACCCTCGCCCAGAGATGGGCTTTGTAGTGGCAGAGTAGAGGGCAGGAACTGGACCAGAGAAAGTGGAGCAGGAGCCCAAGGAGTCAGGCGGGTAACGGGCTTCCCGGCGGGAGCGGCAGCCTGAAGCGCCTGGCGTTCGCCCCCGCTCCGGGATCGCCTCCGCCCAAGGCTGTCAGGAGGAAGGTGTCCAAGCAGGAACGTGTCATTTTGGTGAAGCGCAGTGTATTTTTAGCAATGGTTTTTACCAAGGCGGGCCGTGTTGTGYGGCGAGGCTGGCCAGATGCGCCGCGGGTGTTGAGCAGGAGGGAATAGGGCCCTATCCCTATACCCAAGCGCCCTTGGGACGTCGGGGCGCCGAGCGGGGCGCCTGGCCGCGGAACGTGACCAACTCAGGCCGTCACACGCGCTCCATCTCTCATCTGGGCACAATCAAGCGCGACRCGTCTCTCGGCTGGCGCTGTCATCGGAATTGATTTTATCAAAGCCCATAATCTTGGCTGTCAATGCGAGGCGCTCGGCGAGAACACTCAATGTTTTCTCCGGTCCCCACGCGTGACAYCACCCTTCTACCAGGGCCAGGCTGCGGCACGCGGGGAAGGACCCCCGCGCCCAGCAGAGCAGCCCCTCTCTCAAGGCTTCCGACACCCTCCCGGGCTTTTCTGGCATCCCGGAGCGTCCCAGGCTTTCGGGGAGCCCGGCGAGGGTGCGATCCGTGAGATGAACGCGCCGACGGGGCGTGTCGGGTCCGCGTGGACTTGCTGTAGTGTTTTTGTGGAGCAGGGATGACTTAGCGCCCTTTCCCTATTCACCATGGGTCTCACCTCCCAGCCCGGGTGCACCCAGGAGCAGAGCGGTGTGTTAGGTAGCAGGAATGCTAAGAAGGGAGCTGCGGGAGAGCAGAGCATCCCGCGGGTCCGTTAGGCGTGTGCCCATCCCGGAATGCCGGGAAGCGGCGTTATTTTTCCCCGGGCTTTTAATTGCTCATTGCCCAGGCCGTGGATATTTACGGGTGCGGAGAGGGCCGYGTTATTTATTAGAGGGAGTATCTGGGGCTCGGCGCCTACAAATCACTCGGGGCGGCGCGGAATCCGGCAGGCGCTGGGTAATTTAAAGAGCTTTAATAAAAATGCCAAAGTCGGGGACGTGTCTTCGGGCGCCACRAGGCTCGGTCACCAGGTTTTTAGCGGCGATCCCGGGGGGTTGTTAAGGCAGGGGAGCGGGGCCCTCRCGCGCTCAGCGCCTGTCCCGCCTCGCGTTCCCTCGCAGTCCCCCCGCAGATCGTCAACATCTCGTCGGACGTCACGGTCAACGAGGGCAGCAGCGTGACGCTCATGTGCCTGGCGTTCGGGCGGCCCGAGCCCACCGTGACCTGGCGGCACCTCTCCGGGAAAGGTGAGCGCTCCGGGGCCGGCGCGCCGCGGCCGGCGGGGACGGGGACCCGGCGGCCCCCGCCCAGCCCGGCGCCGCGCGCTCCTCGCAGGGCTGGGCTTCGCCAGCGAGGAYGAGTACCTGGAGATCACGGGCATCACGCGGGAGCAGTCGGGCGAGTACGAGTGCAGCGCCGTGAATGACGTGGCCGTCCCCGACGTGCGGAAAGTCAAAGTCACCGTCAACTGTGAGTGGAGAGCGGCGGGGCCCCGTGTGGCGCCGAGCGCCGGAGGGGGGACGCGCGTGCAGGGACCCAGCTCCCGAGGTGCCCTTTGTGCACGGGGAGCTCAGTAACGGGGAGCTGGGAGCTCTTCAGCGGGGAGGTGGCGGGGGCGCTCTCGGTCCGTGCCGGCCCCCGACGTCTCCCCGGGGCGCTCCGCAGACCCGCCGTTCATCTCCCACGCCAAGAACACGGGCGCCTCGGTGGGCCAGAAGGGCATCCTGCAGTGCGAGGCGTCGGCCGTGCCCGTGGCGGAGTTCCAGTGGTTCAAGGAGGACACCAGGTGAGCGGGGCCGGCCGCGGGGCGTCCGCGGGGCGGGGACTTTGTTCCTGTTGTTTTGGAGCGGGGTACTGTTTTATTGGGTGGTGTGTTGATGGATGGGTGGCATCATGGGGCGAGCCCGGTCCGGGCCCCGCCGTGACGCGTCTCTCCCCGTCTCCCCGGCGCCGGGGGCAGATTAGCGAACGGCCTGGATGGGGTGCGCATCGAGAACAAGGGGCGCATGTCGACGCTGACCTTCTTCAAYGTGTCTGAGAAGGACTACGGCAACTACACGTGCGTGGCCACCAACAAGCTGGGCAACACCAACGCCAGCATCATCCTGTACGGTAGGTGCCGTGCTTGTCCGTGAACGTCTAGGCGTCTAGGTGCCCGAGTGAGGAGCGCGGCCGGAGCGACCGAGCGCCTCGTGACATTTCCGACGGATCGGCGCYGCGGAGCCGACCCTCGGAGGCCCCRACCCRGAGCGCAAAAGAGGCGCCGAGATGCGGAGCGCATCGCTTAGAGGAAGGGGGCGGAAGGGGCCCCCCCGCCCACGGTTTCCAGCCCGCAGCCAAGAGATGGATGTCAGCACAGTAGCTGGTGGCGGTCCTAGCGGTGTTGGTGTCGGTGGGTGACCCAGTGGTGATGGTGAAGGGCTTTTTAGCCGGTTCCCACAAGCGATGCCGGCGGAGGGCGGTCRACGCCGGAACGTCGGGCCGGGGGCCCATTAGCCAGGTGGGTCCGCGCGTGTGCGCCCGGGGGATAGCGACGTGTCGTTGGAGACGGTGCTATGGATAAGGCGGCCCCATCAGTTCGGGAGCGTCAGCGCTTGCACGGGTAGAGCGTGTTCTGCTCGAGGAGGGGTACGGCGCGACCCTGGCGGTCCAGGGGACGGTGCAAAATCTTGGCAGGCGGGCAGAGTGTTGACTGTATTAGCACCTGGCAGCGTTAGGGGCTTCTTGGTGACAGGGTGACAGAGGCGGGCATCGTTAGAGGAGCGGCCGGCACCCGTAGGCGCGAGCAGGGGCCGTTCCCGGCCGGCCACACGCCCCACAGCGCTCGAGGCGGCTCCGGGCATCCCAGACCCGTGTGTGCAGGGGCAGAGGCAGGGCACTTGTCTCGGTCRTGCCGGGTAGATGCGAGGTGGTTGCGAGGTGCTCCCAGGTGCCGCCTGCCCCTTCATTAGGGAGAGGCGGTGCCTCGGGAGGGCGACCCGGCCGATTGGTTCAGGCAGGAGGCTGGGAAAGGGGGCGGGCGGCCGGGGCGGCTGGCTCGACAGCCGGCCTCCGTCAGGGCTGCAGGTCTCCYGCGCGCGGTCCTGCCTCCGGGAGCCGACGGCGCAGAAGGCGTCAGGCAGGTGAGCACAGCGGTGTTTCCGCGGGTGTCCCAGTGAGTTGCGTAGCGGGTGTGTTGGCTGTTGACAAGGGCCGGTGCAGTAGAGAAGCGTGTTAGGGCCAGAGGTGAGGCCCCGGTGTCACGGGGCTCACGGCGTAGGGCAGTGTCGTGCGTCGGCCGGTCAGGGGGGACGGCACGTGCTCGGAGGCCTGGGCTTTGGGGGCGGATCAGGGGCATCGGGCCGGGGCCACGGTCCCGGGGCCGAAGGTGCTCCGTGCCGGTCATGGGGCAGTTGGTAGCGTAGCTGTGGTTGGCGCAGTGTTGCGCCGGCCCACCCCGTGCTGTAGGGTCTATGTGGGTGATGGATCAGGTCCCGTGAGCTGTCGTGGCGGGCAAGGAGATGCGTCCAAGTGCAGTGCTTTGGCTTCCAGGGGTGAGTCTCATCTTGGCACCTTTTGTTTAGGCGTTGCGGTGTTGGAGTTGCRTGTGTGCAGAGCAGGAGCGGGGCAAGGGGTTCCCAGCGGCGCCGGGCTCCTTTTTAGTCGGGGACTTGTGTGTCGGCACTCGGTCAGGAGCAGAGCCCAGCGTTCTGGTGCAGTAGGRCACAGGAGAGCCTTGGGGCTGCCCTGGCCCTCGGCACGTGAGGGCCAGGACTCGGGGTGTTGTGTTTTTACAGGGCCAGGGTGTTTTGAGCGACTCGCAGGCACGTGCCTGGGGCAAGGCATCGTGTTGTCTTGGGTGGGTGCCAGCGCCCCATGCTTTAGGTGAGCGGGAGTCAGACAGGAGTTGTTCTGGCGGGCCTAGGCGGTCGGGTCCCGGCTGCGGTGTTGGGGGCAATTGTGCTGGTCCCCCGGGCCTTCCTAGGGCTCGGAGCTACGCGTAGGGGTTGTCTTGTCAAAGTCCAGCGCGTGCCCGCTGTCAGGGTGGCCCCTTTCTCCTCGGCTCCATTGCGGTTTGACAGCTCTCTGGCGGTGTGCGGAGTGACTCGGCGTGCGCTGTGCCTCGCTGGAGGAGTTCTGCCTCCCTCTCGCACAGAATCTGAGGGCGGAGGCCCAAGGGAGGCCGTCCATGAGCGTTGCGGTCCCCGGGTGTTTCTTGGCAGCCTGGGATGAGGCACCTCCACGAGCYGTCGCACCCCTAAGAGGCCCAGCTTGGGGCTCGTAGGGCGGCTCTGGCGACAGCTCGCACGAKCCTGAGATGCCTCGTCACAGCTCCCCGAGGCCCCATTGTTTCTAAGACGGTCGGGATTAGGAGTCCCAGGATCGCGGAGGTGCCTCGCTCCCCTGGCGGGACCATTCTGGGACCAGAGTGACGGGGGCTCCTGTCGGTGCCTCCGACAACCCGAGATGCTCCTTCTTGGGGAACTGCGTCCAGGGAGCGAGGTCCCGGGCTCCCGAGGGCCTCTCTGGAGCCCTGCTTGCCAGGTCCCTACAGGAGCGTGAGCGTCTCAGGTTGTCGGGGCCCCCGTCCATCCTGGAACGCGCGGGCATCTTAGGCTGCGGGCGGCTCGGCCAAGAGCCRCCCGGAGCCGAAGGCGCCTAGTCCCGGCCCTCTGGGACTAGGGCCGGGACTAGGCGCCTTCGGCTGTGGGCAGCTCCTGGCTGGGTTGCCCTTAGGCTGGTAGTGCTTTGAGGGGAGCTGAGGTAGGGTGGAAGGTGTGTGGTGTCGGGCCGGGGGCTGCGAGGGAGCTAAGGGCAGGCTCGAGGGCCACTGGGAGGGGAGACCCGGGACGGGGGGCCAATGGGAGGCCGTGCCGGAGCGGGAAGGGCTGCCCCGGGACCCCCCTGGCCCAGAAAGCCTCGGGAGCTGGAGCGACCGTGGAGCGTAGCGAATGGGGACGAGCAAACGGGGACGAGTCCTGGCACTGGGCAGGGCACTGGGCGGGGCCGGCGGGCCAGGGCCAGCCACGCTGCCCGTTTGGCCCCAGGCCTGCCGGGGCCACGAGGCCCCACTCAAGCCCCAGGCCTGGCAGGGAAGGCAGGCCTGGGATGGGGGGGTCTCCCCGGGGCAGGGAGCCCTGGGCCTCAGGCCTTCGGCCCGAGGCCCGGGCCCCTAGGGCCTTCGGCCTGAGAGGCTAAGTCCCACGGCCGTGGGGCCGTGGGACTTGACCCTGCGCTGAGGCTGAGGGCCTTAGCCTCTCGGGCTAAGTCCCATGGCCCTAGGCATGTGGGACTTAGCCCGAGAGGGTAAGGCCCTCGGCCTCAGCGCAGGGTCCTAGGGTCTGAGCCGAGGAGGCTAAGTCCCACGGCCCCGGCCTTCCGGGCAAAGAGACGAGGGCCCAGAGGCCTGGCCGCTGAGGCCGAAGGGCCGGGGCCGTGGGACTTAGCCTCCTCGGCTCGGAGGCTCGGGCCGAAGGACTTACCCTCTTAGCCCGGGGGAGGCTCGGGCCGTGGGACGCTGCCTCCGGGCTGTCGGGCTAGGGCCGAGAGCCTTAGCCTCTGAGCCCGGGGGGCCGGGGCCGTGGGACTTAGCCTCCGGCGCTAGGGCCGCCGGCCCCGTGGATGAAGCCCTAGGGCCGAGCCTCTTAGGGGGAGGACGTAGGACTTGGCCGCCCGGGCTGAAGCCCCGGGACTTGGCCGGGCGGGACGAGAGACGGAGGGCGGGGGCTCGGGCGACCGGGACCGGAGGTGCAAAGTCCGAAAGGAATTAAGTGAGGCGACGAGGATGGTTAGATGCATGGGGGGGCGAGACCGAGAGCGCCCCGCAAAAAGGAGAGACACGGGCAGGCGGTTCGAGAGGCCTTTATTCGCGAGCCACAACACGTGAGCACGCTCCGCGACGGCGAGACGCCTCCCTTGGGCCGCGGGTGGCCGCCGCCGCGGGCTCCGTCGATGGTGTCGTGGTCCTCTCGAAGGCCTCGGCCTCAGGGCGGGGTAACGTGGGACGGGTGCCCTCCGCCTAGAACAGAGACAAAAGCGCGGTGTTGGCCAAAAGTCACCGGGCACGAGGGTCCCGCCAAGCGCCCGCGCCCTCCCGCGCCGCCTTCCCTGCCTCCTCCTGTCCGGACTCCGAACGCCCCCTCCGGAGCGGCCGGGCGCCTCTCTAAGGGGCCTGGGCCCGCCGGCGGCTCCGGGCCGGGCGGGCACCCCTCCGGCCGACGAGGGAGCCCTCTCCGCGAGCGTGAGGGCACAAAGAGGACAGAGGCGCACGCGCGCGCTTTCTCCTCGACGGCCCCGCTTCCGAGCCTCCCGGCGCGCCGCCTCCCTAGCGAACGACCTGAGACTTCCTTACGAACGTTCTCGCCTCCCTAAGGAACGAGCCCTTGGTCCTCGACACCTCCCCGAAAACCTCCAAAAAAAGCATCCCCTATGCTTGCTCCTCTTTCGTCACCATCGGCTTGAAACTACCTGCTACTTACTGACTACTACTCTCATGTCCCTAACGCGTGGCTCTTCCTACGCGACCCGCCGCCTCCGCGGCGGACCGCCGAGCGTCCCGACGGCCGCGGCCTCTCGGCTCGCCGCCTCCCGGACCGACGACCTTTTCCTGCCTTCCTCGCCTTCTCGCCCGCGGGACCGACGCCTGATGTTCCCTAAACGAGGGGCCGCCTCCCCGAGGAACGGGCGAGACTCCCCAGGAGCGGGTCCTCTGGCTGGCCTCGACGCCTCCCTAACAAACAACCTCCTTACTTCGCGATCTGCTCGCGCCCCCGGCGATCCGACGCCGGTTCCTAGACCGCCAACCGCCGCCCCAACGGACCGGCGAGCGGCCCGGAGGCCGAAGCCTCTTCGCCGGCCGCCTCCCTAATTAACCGACAAACGACGGTGACCGGGGTCGCGTCCCTGCCTGACAAAGGGGCGCTCCCGGACAAACTTCCGGGCGTCCCGGACGGGTCAAGCCTTTTGGCTCGCCGGCTCCCTCGGTAACGGACTCCCCGTTACGTCCTTACTAAGGTTCTCGCGTCCCTACCGAAGGCCCTTTCCTCATCGAGGCACCGGCGCCCCTACAAACTTCCGAGCGCCCRAAATAAATACTCGATCCTCCTGGCTCGACGCCTCCCTAAGGAATGACCTCGGACCGACGACCGGGCTCTCGTTCCTAACCGACGCGGGCTTCTCCCGAAACGGGGCGGCCGCCTCCCCGAWACGCTCCCGGGAGAGGGCCCCGAATACGCGAGGGGCTCGGCGCGCCGCCTCCGGAACGACCTGGGCTTGCTCTCGCGTCCCTGACCGACAAATGCTTTGTCCCTGATGACCGGGCGCCTCCCCGACGGCCGCTCCGACTACTGGATCCTCTTGCTCACCGCTTCCCTAAGGAACGACCTGGCTCCTAACGCTCTCGCGTCCCTAASGGACCAGAAAAGGCCCGGTCCCCGACAAACTCCCCGACGCGCTGGCGAGCGTCCCGAAGGGTTGAGCCTCTCGGCTCGCGGCCTCCCTAAGTCGCTAACTACCTTTCCCCGACTTACTTCCATGCCCACGTCCCCACAAACTCTTTGGCCTGACCGACGGGCCGCCTCCCGGCCGAGCCTCGCGGCCCCGACGAGCGAACGCTTCCTCCTCGAGGAAGAGCCGGCCGCCTCCCGATGGAACCGACCTCGTGGGGCCGGAGCRTCCCCGACGAACGAACGAACGCTTCTTCGGACCTCGCGGGCCGCCTCCTTCGCTAAGTGCCTCCGCTCCGTCCGCCTACGCGAACGCCTTCTCCTAAACGACAGGCCGCCCCTCCGCGTTGCTCGCCTCCGAGCGCCGTCGGATGGGCCCGGCTCCCTCCGACTCCCTGCTCCTCCTTACCTAACGAACTCCCGCGCGCCGGAGAGTCCGGAACAAACCGACACGCGACCCGAGGCGCTGGCGGCCTACCCGCGCGACTTCCTCGAGCCCCGGYGGCCCGACCCGACGGAGACTTGCTCCTGCGCAGCCCTCCGCCTCACTTGCGCGCAGACCTCTTTCTTGCCCTGACCGGCCGGCCGCTTTCCGCGCGAGGGCACTTTCTCCCGCCTGGGCGAGCGCCCGCTCCGGCCGGCGCGCCGCCTCTCCCCCATGCTCCGGTCCTGAAGAGACCTCGGCCCCTGGGCCTGCCRCCTCCCTGGCGCCCGAGCCTCTCCAGGAAGAGCATCGGGAACTAACGCGGCTCTTTCTGGTCCCTGGTTGCTCTCACCCTCCCCGACTAAGTTTCGCGCACCCCGGCAAATGCTGCTSTTCCCTTCCTCAGGGCTTGCCGCCTCTCCGGCTCGCTCGGGTCCGGCCGGCCCGTGGCCCTTGCCCGCCGCCGGCCGTCGCTCCGCGCCGCCTCCCGGACGCACGCGACCGCCCTTGACTGCTCCACACCCTCTCTCCTATTTTCTGCCGTCAAAGGATGCCCGAAGCTGCCTGTTCCCGGACCGACTAACTTACTTTGTCAAGTCCCAGCGACCCAAACGGCCGCAACTCTCTCCTGCCCAGCTCGGCGGCTCCGGCCCGAGCGTCCCAAACGCGCGTGACTCTTTCTTCGCCGTGCCCTTGCCACCTCTCTGACGCTCTCGCGTCCGCGTGCGACTCTGCCCCTGTTAGCCGTCTCCTTTGCTCTCCCCGTTCCAGGCGGCCCGAAAGGACGCGAGCCCCTTTCCTATTCCCTGGCCCACCCTCTTTCTTCCTCCACGCTCCCTGTCCAGACCCACTGCGACCCTTTCCTACAGCCGGCYGGCTCTCCGACGTTCAGGGCGTCCCAAAGAAACACCGCCCTTTCCGAAGCGCTCGTCCTCTCCCTGAATTTCGGGCTCTCTGCCCGCCGGGCTCCCTTCCTGTCGCGGCGACTCCCGGGACGCTCGGCGCCTCGCGCCCTTCRCGCTTTCCTTCGCCCTCGCTCCTCGCTTGTCCTCCTGCCCGCTCGCTCGCGCGCCGCGGAGCCGCTCGGTTCCCCCTGGGTCGCCGCCTCTCCGACGCGAGCCCCGTCCTCCCAAACGCGCGCGACTCTTTCCTCTGGCCACATCTCTAACTGGCATCGTTCGGCACGTCCGAGCGCCCCGAATACCCACGACTCTCTCCGACTTACTCGCCACCTTTCTAAGTTCCTCGAGACAAAGCGTGACAAACACAGGCCGGTCTTCCCTATGGCATGAGCACCTCTCGACCGCCTAAGTCCCTCGCGTCCGAGCCGCCCGAACGCGCGCGCCTCGCTCCTGTTGGCTCCTCGCCGCCTAACGCCTTCCCGGGCGCTCGGCTCCCCTCTCCTCTACGACATCGCGCAGTGACGATGCTGGCGGGCGGCCCCGTCCCCGGACGCCTCTGTGGTGCCGGCTCCTACCTGTTGGTCTCCGCGCGTCCCACGTCGTCCCCTGGGCGCCGACGGCCGCGCGTCCCTACGGCGTCTCCGGGGCGCCGCTCTCCCGGTCGCCGTGGCTCCGGAGCTCTTCCCGGCTCCTTGGCGTTCCAAAGTGCTGCCCTCCTGCCCCATTGCGTGCGAACGCCCGGTGCGCCCCCGGCCCCGTCACCTCCGCCACCTCCCGAAGTGGACGGGACATTTTTGGCATGCGACATTGGTGGCATCCGACGGTTTTGGCATCCTTAGCGGCATCCTCCTGCGGCGTGCCGGCRCGTGGGGCTCGTGGGCTCCTTCGCCCCTCCGACGGCGACGCTCCCGCTGCTCCCTGGAACCTGCGCTGCGGAGGGAACCGCTTACCTGCTCTCCCGGGGCGAAGGGGGAGCGCGGGGGCCTCCTCGCGCCGGGCGGGCTCCTCGCTGATGGAATCTCCTCAAAAGTTCCCGTTCCTCACGGGCCGGGCCTCGGCGGCGCTCCCGCCGCGCGCCTCCCGGAGGGTGCGGGCGGGCTCGGCCCCGGGGCTGTCCTCGGGCTGAGGGGACCCGCGGTCCCCCCGACGGCGCCTCCTCCTCCTGTCACCCCACAGCGCCMTTTCCCCCTGAAATTCCCTGCAAAGACACCCTGTCTGCAACACCACGRGCACATCCTCGCTGCTCCTGGCATTGCAGGAGAGACCCGCTCTAGCCAGAGGGCATCGGGCTCCCGAAGAGCCCCGGGGGGCTCCTCRCTGCCCTCGGCTCCCCCGCCGACCTGCCTGCGCTGACCTCCAGGTATCAGGGACGTGAAACAGCCTGGTTCCTACCCTTCTCGGAAGTGCCGTAACCCCGAGAAACCTCCAGAGCGCAAACGCGGAGCCRCCTCCGCTCCGACGCAAGCTTCGCGTGCCTGGAGACTGACGGGCCGCTTCCGAAAGCTGCCTGACCGACCACCCTGTACCGAAAGGGCGTCACAAGGACGCGAGCGATGGGCCCGCTCCTCCTCCTCCCGGCCTGCGTGTGCCTGGCCGGGGACGACTCTCCTTTAGGCCACGCTAAGGAATCCCGGGAGTCCGCTCTGGGCTCCGCTCCTCTGGCGCGGGGACCGCGAGGACGCCGCTCCCGGCTCCGGGGAGCGTGCGGCTCTGCGGGGAGCCGCAAACTCGTGCCCGCCTCCGCGCCTCCTTCTCACCTCCTTCTCTCCTCTCCRCAGGGCCCGGCGCGGTGCACGACGGCGGCAACGCGGCGTCGCGAGCGGCCTCCCGCCTCTGGCTCTGGGCAGCCTTCCTCGCCGCCTTCCTCCTCCTCGACTTTTGATAAGAAGGCGCAGGGGCCGCGGAGGCGCCGGCG